ATGTAAGTTATATCTTTATACATTATAAGCCCACCAATGCATATAGTTCTATACTTATTGCTTTATGCAGTTTCTTTTTAAGTTATGTAGAACAAGAAAAGAGTTAAGAACAAAAAGTACCTTTATACTATATTTTGTATTTACCTATGACTACATAGGTATAACTATATTTTTACTTATTTTCTTTATTTCTTCATGTGAATTTGAGCTGTTGTACAGTGTCCTTTCATTTCAACCCGAAGGACTGTTGCTTTTTGTTTATCTGGTAATATCTTAAGTTCTCCTTTGTTTTTGGTGGATAGTTTTGTTACATATAGAATTATTGGTTGATTGTCTTTTTAATTTCAGAACTTTGAATATATTATCTATTCTCACGCTGCTCCACTCTGGCTTTCATGGTTTCTCATGAGAAATCAGGTATTGACCTTTTTGAGGATCCCTTGTGCACAATGAGTGGGTTCTCCATTGTTGCTTTAAAGATTTTCTCTTTGTCTTCTCTTGTGACAGTTTGGTTATTGTGTCTAGATTTGGATCTCTTTAAGTTTATCCTGTTTGGAGTTGGTTGTTAAATATATAGATTGTTTTATATCAAATTTGTGAAGTTTTTAGCCATTATTCTTCATATCTTTTTTGATAATTTTTCAATGTGGTAGTTGCCTGAGGCAACAATAACAACTAGGGCAAAGAATCGGACCCAAAAAGTCTTTGAAAAGTACCATATGGCCTTGTCTTTTTTCTCTTTTCCTGGGACCTCTATTATGTGACTGTGTTGGTACATTGGTTTTGTAAGATGATCTCTTGGGCTCTGTTCATTTTTTTTGTTTATTTCTGTTACTTAGATAGGATATAATAACAGTTGACTCATCTTCAGATTTGTTGATTACTTCTTGTCCCAGCTCAGATCTGTTGTTGAACTCCTCCTAGTGAATTTTTAATTTCAGTTATTGTACATTTCGTCTCCAGAATTTCTATATGGTTCTTTTAAATATATTCTTTCTCTTTGTTGTTATTCTCTATTTGGTGAGACATTGTTTTTGCACTTTAATTATTCAGAAATAGTTTTCTTTAGATCTTTCAGCATATTTATATTAATTGACTTGAAGTCTTCATTGAGTTAAGCCAATGTATAGGTTTCCTTACAAATAGTTTTTGTTGACTGAATTTTATTTCCTTTATATGGGCCATATTTTCTTGTTTCTTTGTCTCACAATTTCTTGTTGACTCTGGACACTTTAAATAATATATTGTGGCAACTCAGGAAATCATATTCTTTCCCCTCCCCAGAGTTTTTGTTGTTACTGTTTATTGTTTTTGTTGCTTATTTTGGTCTAGTGACTTTCCTAAATGAATTCCTTAAAGTCTTTGTTCTTTATTTTATGTGGCCACTGAATTCTCTGGTTAGTTAGCTTAGCGATTGCACAGAGGTTTCCTTAAGCGTGTTGAACCAGTAAGTCTCCCAGACTCTAGTGACTGGCTCTGTGTTTTGGGGGCATGCTTTCAGTGCTGTGAGAGGTGTTTTACACCTCTGTCTTCCTTTTTACTTCCTGCTTGTTCAGAGTGTCAAAGTCAGCCAGTGGGGGATGTTAGAGCCTTCAGGGGTCTTTCCTGGGCCTGTGCATTTGCATAGCCTTGCACATATACCTCCCAGATTCCCAGGAGTATGTCAGTATATTCGGAGTTTGCTGTGGACATCTCAATTTCTAGCCCCCGCCCTCTTTTCCCGCCCCCCCACCCCCCATTTTTGGTAAGTTTCTTTGCTCCAGTTGTTATTTCTGTCTCAGGTGTCCACCATATTGAACAGTTGTCACTGGTTAGTTTTGATCATCACCTCAGGGAAAAGGCCTCTAACATTGAACAAGCTCTAAGTCAGGTCACATAAAGACAAGCCCTACAATTGGGCTCGCAGGGATGTGCCAGGTAGGTGGAATGATAGTTCTTTGGGAATGGGGACTTTTAGGGAGCTCCAGACTTGGGAGCTTCAGCTCTTTCTAGTGGCTGCCAGGCTGCTTGTTTTCTCTTACCATGATGGTAAGTTGATTTGGACAGTTTTTGCCAATGTTTTCTTTGGTTCTTTGAAGCAGATTTTCGAGGGTCCATACTCTGCCATTTTAAAGGGCTCCTCTCCTGTTTTATGATCACAATATTTTCTCTTATCTCTTTGGAAGCACTAATGACATTTTTTTGAAAACTTTTTCTTTCTCTTCAAAATCTCGTCTGTCCTCCAAGTTTGGATTTCTAAGTATGTGTTTATGTCAATTTCTCTTTTTCATGCTAGAAGCTCTAAGTATATGGATGCAGCTTATTGACTGAGATTGCTGTGTTTAAGTATTTGCTTCCAGGAAATTATTTAAAATGTATATATAAAATTTTCTAGGAAGGAACTAATTTGAACTAAATCTTATAGTAAAATAAATTCCAATTGGATTGAAGAGTTTAATATGGAAATTTAAATTCAGAAAAAGTAGGGGAAGATGGTAGTTATTTGTCAAACCAGTAAAGAAATTTATTTTAAATGGAAATCCAGAGATTTAAAATAAAACAATTTGGTGGCTTCAGAGGGTAATCATTAGTTATGTATTCAATGTCTTTGAATATATAAAACTCATCCCTTTAGATTTGTGTGAATCAGTAGTTCCCAAGAGAGACATTTTATATTTTTGTGCTCAGAGCTAGCAAACAAAACCAGTCCTTTCATTCCTAAGGAATGCTTTGTTGGTGTTAGACTGTCTCTTTAGGTGGTAACCTTGATAGGAGCTATTGTAGCAGCATTAATGAGCAGAGAATGAGGGAGCTAGTGAGACAGGAGTGTGAAAGCAGAGGGAATTCTGAATTAAGGTGCACATACCAATAATAGTTATGTTTATAGTGTTCTCATACCTAGTTGTTCAGGCCTGCCAGGTCGTGGGTAATGTGACCGCAGTGAGCATGCCTTACCACTGAGAACGAATCCACAGACTCCGTACACAATTACCATTTAGAATGCTGAATACTCTCCCAGGAATGGGAGAAATACTTGCCCTCTTCCAGTAATTTCAGGAACAACCAGACTAGAGGTATACCTTGGCTCCAACTTACAAACTTGCAGGCATGCTCACATCAGAGGCTGTGGTTGTGACACAATCAAGTAGTGCTTTAGTGAGGGCATGCCCTGGCAACCTGTGTCATGATGTTATTTATGAGTTTGTCAAGCCGTTGAAGATCTTTGTTACTTTAAAAAAGGGAAGATAATGGAAACATCATAAGAAACACAATCATGTAAGGCATCTTTCCAGTTCTTTAGTAACTGCTGGAGTTGAAAGTGAGTTATAGTTTTACTCATTTCTGGTCCTGAGATGGCAGTTGGAGTTTTATTCAGTGCCAGTTTTAACTAATGGGTAGCGTCTGCCTGGAATAGTTTTGAGAAGGATTCTGAGGGAACATCTGGGCTTGGTGGAAAGATGGCTTGAAAAGATTGTTGGTGTCACCTATGGAATGGGGAGAGGCAGTGCATCAGGCTGCTTCATCCCCTTCATTTGCTGATGTGTAATTTTGGCCTCTCTGTTACTTAGAGCATGAGCTCCAGAGGGTAAGAACTCACTAGCTCGGTGTTGGGCTCATAGTGGGCACTCTAGTTTTGAGTGAATGAACAAATGAATGAACAAACACCAGAGCTTGTGTGAATACCCACAGTTTTCCAGAGTGAGGAGTTAGGTTTCAGCTGTCTAACATAGAGATGTAACTCCTGAGCGAGCATCTGCATGGCATATGTAGTGCTTGATACAAATACCAAGAGAGCATAGCTCACATCTATACCCCTGAGGAGCTTCCATTAGCTTGAGAAGAAAAGACAAACATGTTTGAAATGATGAGAGCTGGCAGGATAGGATGGTGTGCTAAAAAGCACTAAAATGTCCCTAAAATTGAAGGCATAGATACATTACTTTGGAATCTCAACACTTACTCCAATATACCTGTGCTGTGCTTGAGAAAACCTCTTTTTTCTTTTTCTTTTTCTTTTTTTTTTTTGAGACAGAGTTTTGCTCTTGTTGCCCAGGCTGGAGTGCAGTGGCGCAGTCTCGGCTCACTGCAAGCTCCACCTCCTGGGTTCAAGCGATTCTCCTGCCTAAGCCTCCCTAGTAGCTGGGATTACAGGCACCCACCACCACATGCAGCTGATTTTTTGTATTTTTAGTAGAGATGGGGTTTTACTATGTTGGCCAGGCTGGTCTCGAACTCCTGACCTCAGGCAATCCACCTGCTTCAACCTCCCAAAGTGCTGGGATTACAGGTGTGAGCCACCACGCTGGGCTCAAGAAAGCCTCTTTTTTAACTTTTTCTATTAAGTATGATTGCATTCTCCCACCTTTTTCTTTCATTTTTGGTGTCACTAGGATGGAGTATTTAGACTGGTTAAGGAATTTTGCTTTAATTTAAATGCCAAGGTGAAATGATCCATTAATAGAAAATAAATGTAATACAGATTTTTTTTAAGCTGAAGATTATCCAGTCACAGCATTTGTTTCTAGAGAAATTATTTCTAGCATTTTTGGATTGAGCATGAATCACAGCAGGAAGCACAAGCCTTTGTAATGTACTATTAGTGCATTTTGAAAAGCTCCATCCTAAGTAATTGATAGTTTGCGCTAAGAGAGAAATAGGAGAAACACACACTTCTCATAATATATACATTTTGTGTAGAGTAGTCAGTAATGTCTGAGAGCAGGGGCTCTGGATTACTACTCTCAGGGCTAGAATCTCCACCCCACATGTATGTCACCTTAAGGAGATTAAGTGAGCTCTTTCAGATAGACTTCTAGGCCCATTCTTTACCCATAGTAAGTGCTCAGTTATTGTTGGCTATTGTTAATGTTATTGATTTAGTCACTGTGTTTCGTTCTTAGGTGGGTCTGTATCATTGATTTTTGGGGGGCGGTGGGGATCAACTTCACATTAGCATTTTAATGTAATTGGCTATGAGCAGTGATGGTTAATAGTTTGTTTACATTTTTGCTTTCATACAGATTGAATGTAATTTTTACAAAATTTGATGAAGTCCAGAAATCTGGAAACATGATACAATCTGCAAATGGTGAGTAGAAAAAGCATTCTCTGCTTTTGCTTTTTCAGTTTTACATTTGTATCATTTATGTTATATGTGAACAGCTGAATTAGGTAATTTAGTAAGAATTTCTAACTCTTAAAACTTAACCTCCATTCACCCAGTTTTCCAGGCCAGAAACAGTGGAGTGAATCATCACTGACTTTCATAACCTGTACTGAATTTAACTAATCCTGTTGGCTTTACTTTTAAAATTGCATCCTGAATCCCAGGAACTCTCATCATCACTGCTACTGTCTTCCCAGCGCAAGCTGTCATGGTATTTTACCTGGGCTCTTGTGTTTCCCTCCTAAACAGTATCTTTTCTTCTACTGTTTCCCCATACCTAAAGTCTGTTTTTCATATAGCAACCAGAGTAATCCTTTCAGAATACAAGTCAGGTGATGTGAATCTTCTTCCTAAACCTCCAAAGGCTTCCCATCACACCCAGGCTGCAATTCAGCAACTCACCATGGCTCACTGGGCCTTGAGTGATCTGGCACCCATCACCATTCTGATGTCATTTGAATTGTTCTTTGTGAAAGTTCTCTTTGCTCTAGCCACGTTGACCTCCTTGCTAATTTTGAACATTTTGAGCATCTCCTGCTTCAGGACCTCTGTGCTTATAATTCTTTCTGCCTGAAGTATTTGCCCTGTGGGTATCATTGTGGCCTCCTCCCTCCTCTCTCATGCCATGAAGATCTCACTTCATACAGTATCACTGCATTACTGAAGGCCACGGGAATAGCACGCTCTGTGCCTCACCCTGTTGGAGGGTTCTTCTTAGCGTGTATCACTAGAAAAGTATGTGTTTACTCATGAGAGCAGGACCTTTACTTTATTCCCTTTATTGTTCTTTATTTGTTTCTCAATGAGCGTGAGTTCAATGCCTTGAAGAGTCCCTGGCTTGTGATAGGTGTGCAGTAAGTATTGTTGAATAAATAAAGTAATGATTTTGATGTGAATCGTAACCTGTTGTTTCCGGTTCCTGTATTTCTTTCCCTATACTTTGTGATGATATTTGAGAACTAGTGGGTAATTCTTGTGAGTCCAGGAGAGGAAAAGACAGGAATGAATTACTCCTGTATGAAGGAAAGAATATCAAAAAGTTAATTGCTGAGAAAAACTTTTCTAACTCTGGATACCTCATTGTATCATAGCTAGGCTATTTTAGAATTTTTAGGTATATTAGATTACAACCAGTACCGAATTCATTAATCATGTTGGATTTACTTTTAAAACTGTACCCCGAATCCCAGTAATTCTCCTCATCACTACTCCTGTCTTCCTAGTACAAGCCTTCACATTTTGAATATCTTGAGATTGTAAAGAAGAGTCTGAGTGCTTTTCCTCAAAGTAAGTTGGTACATAGGGCAGAGCGGGTAACCGAATGCAAGGCTTTTGACTTGCGCTCTGCTGTGTACCTATTATTATTCCAGAGGATTTTTTCTTTGAACAACATGTTTCCTATATAAAATGCTTAAAGTGATCTAAAAATGCTTCCGTTAATCCTCCTTATCTCTTTTTCGTAGATCGTAAAAAATAATAGAAAACGAATATCATAATTCAGCTATTACCATTAAAAATCATTTTTGCTATATTAGTTCATTTTCCTATAACAGTATAATTTGTATATAACTATGGTGTAATTTTCTCTACTTTACCCTGTACTTTAGTGTACATACTTTGATATGTACTTTAAAAAACATATCATTGGTAGAGCCAATGGCATCTGAGTGGTGCACTCGTGATGAGTGGGGTTGCTTGGTGTCCGCAGGCAGGTCTTCACAGGCAGTTAGTTGATGGACACATGCTTTTACTTTTGTGTGGGTGTATTTGTGTGGTTTCTCAGTTTAAAAATTGTTGGCACTGGGACAGAGCATGCTGGGCAAGTAAGTAAAAGCAGTGGCAGGAAAGTGAGTTTGTGCTTCATAAGCCAGTATTACGGCTGTGAAACAGAATCTCATTATAGTGCTGGCATTGGGGAGAAAGACTGCATCCACATTGGGGATCTTGCCTAAAAGAGTGTACATACACTCCATGGGATCCAGTGATGTGACAAATATGATTTCACCCTCAGGAATGCCAAAACTGTGTGGCATTGGATGTATCACAAGCAGCATTTTCTATGTGGTTAGGTATAAATATTGCCCCCAAATTCCCTTTTGTGTGTGTGTGTGTGTGTGTGTGTGTGTGTGCACGCTCGTGCACACACATAGGTGTAGGTTTGAGAATGGAAACAGTTCTTTTAAACATCTGTGTTAAAAATAGCAAATGGTAAGGAAGCCTTAACAAAATTTCTTGGAGGTCGATAATTTCAGCTTTTTGCTTTATATATATATAGTATTACTGTTTTAATTGTTAGAGCCAAAATGTTTAAGGAAACTAATATATAGCCATATGTGTAAAATTTTAGAATTTCTAACCTAAATGATTTTCATCTCTTTACAGTAACTTTGAGAGACCAATAAATTGTTCAGTTGCTGTCAAAAAACAAACCACCTGATTTCCTTCATTGCACATTTAGATGGCGTAGAGAAACTGCAGTAGTGATGGAATAAAACCTGTCTCCCTCTTTTATCTAATTCTCTCTCTCTCTCTCCCTCCTTTTCTCCTCCTCCTTCTTTTTCTCTTTTCTTTTCCCTTCCTTCCCTCCCTCCTTTCCTTTTTCAACTCTTTTCTTCTCTTTTCTTTCTCTCTCTCTCTTTCTCTTTTTCTCTTTCTGTCTCCCTCTCCCTCTCTCTCTCTCCCCCCCAACCTCCTCTTCCTTCGTGTTTTTTTTTTTAACACAACTCCCAGTGTAATTCTTTGATTTCTTTTGAACTTCAAACCTTTGACTGTTCAGCTTTCTCTAGATCCATCCATCCTCTGCTTTCTCCATTTCTTACCTTATATGGCTTATATTACAACCTTTTTGAACTTATTAGTTGTAGGAGTTTTTGTAGTGTCTGTGGAGTTTCCTACATATACAGTCTTGTGATCTGCAAATAGCAACAGTTTTATCTCTTTCAGATACGTGTGCTTTTAATTTCTTTTTCTTGCCTTATTGCACTGGCTAGAACTTCCAGTACTATGTAAAATAAGAGTGGTGAGACAGGACATCCTTGTCTGGTTCCTATCTTAGGTGCTAAGTATGGTATTAGCTGTAGGATTTTTGTAGATGTTCTTTATCAAAATGAGGTAGTTTTCTATTTACTTCTGTTTATCTTATCTTTTTTTTTTTTTTCCAGAGCAGGAATAGAAGTTTATTTAAAAAGGCTCAGAACAGGAAAGAAAGGAAGGTATGCTTGGGAGAGACCCAGGTGGGCACATGAAAGTTAAAGAAAGAAAGTTAAATGCCCTTATCTGAGTTTTTGTCAGAAATAGGTGTTAGGTTTTTTGTGAAGTTATCAGTATATTTTAAAAATTGAGATACTTTCTCCTTCTAGTTGCCGTTCATTTAAAAATTAAAAATTGAGATTATATATAATTTACCTACTGGTGTTTCACTTTTTAAAGTGTGTGCTTTAGTGGTTTTTTTTTTTTTTTGAATATTCACAAAGTGTGCAACTGTTACCACTATTTAAATCTAAAATACTTCACCCTCACATCCCATTCCCATTAGCACTTACTCCTTATTTCCCTCTCTCCCCAGTTTCTGGCATCCTATTTTCTGTCTTTATGTTGCCTATTCAGGACATTTTGTATAATTGGAATCATGTAATATTTGGCTTTTGTGTCTGGTATCTTTCACTTAGCATGGTGTTTTCAAGGTTCATCCATAATGTAGCATGTATCAGAAGTTCGTTGCTTTTTATGGCTGAGCAAGATTCCATTGTGTGATTAGACTACATTTTCTTTATCCGTCTGTTGATGGACATTTGGGGTTGTTCAACTTTTTGGCTATTGTGAAGAATGATTCTTTGAACATTGTTGTAAAAGATTTCATGTGGATATGTATTTTCATTTCTCTTGGCTGTATACTTTGCAGTAGAATGGCTGAGTTGTACATTTAACTTTTTGAGTAACTGCTCAAACACAGTAAACACACAGTTTTCCAGTTTTGCGGCACTATTTTATATTCTTACCAGCCACCTGTAAGAGTTTCCAGTTTCTCCACATCCTCACCAATAGTTGTTATTGTCTGTCTTTTTCATTATTGTCACCATAGTGGGTGTAAAGTGGTATCTCATTGTGGTGTTGATTTGCTTTACCTTGACGAGCAATGGTACTGAACATCTTTTTCATGGGCTTGTTAACCCTTTATATACCTTGGTTGGAGAAATGTCTATTCAAATAAATCTTTTGCCCATTTTCTAAAGGGTTTAATTGCCTATTTATTGTTGAGTTATAAGAGGTCTTTAGATGTGCTACATACCAGACTCTTTAACAGATGTGATTTATTTGCAAATATTTTTTCCCATTCTGTGGGTTTTCTTTTCACTTTCTTGATAGTGTCACATGAAATATAAAGTGTTAAATTTTGATGAAGTCCAATTTATCTGTTTCTTTTTTCTTTTGTTATACCTAAGAAACTATTGCCTATTTTTGGCCAGATGTGGTGGCTCACACCTGTAATCTCAGCACTTTGTGAGGCCGAGATGGGCAGATTATCTGAGGTCAGGAGTTTGAGACCAGCCTGGCTAATATGGTGAAACTCCATCTCTACAAAAATACAAAAATTAGCCAAGTGTGGTGGTGCACCCCTGTAGTCCCAGCTATGGGGGTGGCAGGTGGGGCCCTGAGGTGGGAGGACTGCTGGAACTTGGGAGGCAGTGGTTTCAGTGAGCTGAGATCGTGCCACTGCACTCCAGCCTGGTCGCGAGACTCTGTCTCAGAAAAAAAAAAAAAGAAGAAGAAGAAACTATTACCTATTTTTACCACAGAAAAGAGGCCAGGCATGGTGGTTCATGCCTGTAATCCTAGCACTTTGGGAGGCCAAGGCGGACAGATTGCCTGAGCTCAGGAGTTCCAGACCAGCCTGGGCAACATGGTGAAACCCCGTCTCTGCT